CATATTTCACTTAGGAACTTCGTGTAGCAGCTGCAAGCCACATTTGCATTCGCTTCCTTACTTTTGGCAGTGCAACCTCAGCGCAAATCAATAACTCAGCCATTCGTATTTGCGACAGTCAGGCTTAAGCATTCTGCTGCTCAATCTGGAGCCTGTGTCCTGTAAAGCTGACGCTGCAAGAACTTGAAAGCATTTATGACTGTACAAAGACACAGAAGTTACATAAAAGACACAGAAAGACACAGAAGTAACTGTACAGTACATGAATAGATCCATACACACAAAAATAGTACATATATATATATATATGCACATGTATACACATAACATACGTCTGACACTATGTGCATTCACAAATGTATACACATTACATATCATATATATATGTTTGTTCTTATGTGTATGTCTATGCATATGTATAAGATAATGTATGTATCTATCTATAGACTGTATATATTTTGCATGCCTTTTCTGGTGCCAAGGTGTGCTAAAATGTATATTGTATATATATACACTATATGTTTCTGTTTATGCACAATGTATTTATGTATATTATACTACAACCTATATAACTTTGTATGACCTGTCTACACATGCCCGCCCGACCTAGCTGCAGCCAATGCTTGCGGACTGAGTGTTCTCCCAGTTTTGGATCCAGAAGATCAGGTCAATTCGGTTCAGCTAGCGCCATGTCGCGTCGCCGCGGCATTTTTCTGCTGCTGGCAGGTAGGGCTTGTCTAGGTACTGCAAATGCGTCGACAAGTGAAACGCTTGCAGGGCCAACTCTGGGTGTTGAGTCGGAGAGCTTGCAGGCTACCTGGGACACTCAAGTACATTTGCGAAACACCGGTCTTTTCTTTCGCCGAACCCTCCGATACTCACCTGCACTCAGCTCCAAATCACCAATTCTTTTCAACTGCTGCTTGTTCACAAGTGCCAAAGTGCTGAGGTGTGGCGGCAGATTGGTTCGCGCTCGAGAAACAGATTCCCGGGTAGAGCGGCGTGCAGTCTTGAGCAACCTAGAGGCGAGAAATCGCACTCAGACCGTCGTGCAATGTCGAAGCTTACGTTTGACAGTCTGAGACTGGCACCCTGCGATAGCCGCATGTTGTTAAATTCACGGCGCTTTGAACGATTACAACGAGGCTGCAGCCGTGGTGCAGTCCTCACTGCCGGGCATTGCTGCAGTGGTTGGAGCAGCAGCGGCAGGGTCTGCGGCGCAGCTCTCACGCGCATCCGCGATTGGCTCTGAGCCTTTGAAGGCTGGAAGCACAAAGGGGTCGACCTGAAGTGGTTCTATGAGGGTCGGAGAACAAGTATATAAGAAGGTCAAAGTTCGACCATGCAAACAGCCGGTGTAGCCGCACGGCTGCTAATTCGAGCTTCTGTACTTAGTCCTGCTGGGATTGTTGATGGTGATTCAAACTTGCAACGTAGAGAAGGAAAAGACAAGCCGGGGCAAGGACACGGAATTGAATATGTGGGACCGAATTGTTTGTTTTTGATTGATGCGCATAAAAGGATTGGACGGTCTCATGATCACTTTGGCCATTGAAAATCCAGGATTGGCAAGAAGCCTCGTGCGTGCCAGGATGCAGATGGGCGAAATTTCTTTGGCCAGCAACGTTGGACTGGAAGGACAGGCCGTTGGGCGCTTCAGCTGTCCTTGTGACCCCCCCACCCACACAGTATCACTTGACCGCAAGAGTGCGTTGAAGAAAGATAAGACATAGCTGACATTACGCAAGATGTGTTTGGATAAAGTTTATGGAACCAACTCAGAACTAAGCACAGTCACCGTATCAGCTGGTTTCTTCTTTGCTTGCAAGGCTTGTGCCCACCAAACGAGGTTTCATCTGGTGTTGTTGCCAGGACCATTGCTGTAGCTCTTGTTTGGATCGTGCTGCTGGGCTACTCCTTCTTCTTGGCGCCAGGAAAAAGTCCCGACGCCCGAGAGGCAGACCAGGCAAGTGGGATTCAGCTGTACTGCAGGAGAAGTCTTACAAGTGTTCCGCGGACTCCTACTCGTACTCTAACTAGAACCCCATTAGAGCCAGCAATGAGGGCGTACTGCTTCAATCAACAGCTGACAAGAAGGAGAGTTGGATGGATTCTATTTGAGACTCGCTCTGCCATGGGAGGTCCTGTTGAACCAAGTCCTCTCAACACCTTTTGACGGCTCCGTCAGCCCGCTCTTCGTTTGCATCTTCAACATGCTAGGCCAGGAAGCAATGGGACAGCCATGACGGTCATGGATGGGGCGTGGGCTTCACACAAGTTCGATGGCCTTCGAGAATGGTGCAGATTTGCGATGACATACACACCATTGCAATTTTTTCACGCTTGGACAATTTGTTTTGTGAGGCATCTGGCCAGTGATCTATTCGGCGACCTTGCTGCCGGGTGCGGATCGCCAAGCACCAGTGCCTGCCTATCCGTTTCTTGGCAGACCTGAAGTGGCTGTTTTATGGATTCTCGGATGGTATTAATTGATGAGGTGCTCCAGATCCCAGTATGCTTGTTCGTGACAGTGATCACCGGTGTTGTTGGTTGTTTTTTGGATCCATTCGTTCTCGCCTATGGGGTTCTCAAGATCAATTGAGAACTTTTGCAAAGCACAGGGTGGCACATGACAATCACGACGGTGGTGGGAAAACACATTGCTTGCACAAATCACACTCAGTCAAAGTGCAAGTGATTATTTTCTCACAGATCCCGCTCGGCGTGGTTTGATGCGATCACTTGGACGCAAGACCAGAGTCTCAGCTGTTGCAGCTTCTGCGGCACCATCACACTCAGCTGTTGCAGTTGCAATTTTTGTGATAGTTGGGTTGCATAAGCTGTTCAATTGCAAAAGTGTATCAGAACACATCAGCCAAGCATAAACAATCAACATGGTCTCCTCCCAGCTTCTTATGATGCTGTAAGGTTTGTTTTTGCATCCTTTTTCCTGGGAGCCTTTGCACTCAGCCCGTACTTGGCACTACGTGAGTATCGAGGCACAGCAGGAGCCGGGGAGTTTTCGCAGAACTGTCGACACCAAAGACTAACCGCACCCAAAAGATCCAATCCTCGATGCAACTTGCAGGGTTTGCTGTCGGATTGACGTATGCAGGTGTTCGGAATGCACTAAATGTAGAGAGTTCCCGAGGAGAGTCGGGAAGCTACTAGTAGCTCCCGGCATTACTACTAGGAACAAGAAGCTACTAGAAACACAGGGCATCGCTACTAGGAGCAAGGACGCTACTAGTAGCTCCTGACATACCAGGAGAGTCGGGAAGCTTGGATTGGTTCACAGCCAATGTCTTGGAGAGTCGTTTCACTGCTCTCCTGCTCCTGGCGGGGGCGGTGTACTTGGCCTTATTTGCACTGGGTGCCCTGGCTGCTTTCAAGCTGAGTCTAAGGCCTTGTCACTTGTTTTGAGTATTGTGAGGCCCCGAGAGTCCTGACTTGAGGAAATGGTGCAATTGGAGCAGTTGCGCCGTCTGCTGCCTGGGTCCAATTCCTGCCCGTTTTTGCAAGCCCCTGGTCTCCAAGTCAGCTCTGCTCTCTTTAGCTGACAACTTAGAATGTCACGCGTGATTTGGCTGGATCAGCCTTTGAGTGGTGTTGAATCTCACACCTCATACAGAGATGAGCCATAGTCAAGACCATCCCGAAGCAGATTAATTTGGGGAGTCGCTAGATTCGGCCGTGGGCCAGACACCTTGCCCAGACATATTCTAGTTTTCATGTCGTATTTGGCGCAGGCCTTGTGTGTGTTTGACTCTTTTGACCCAGAACTTGTGAGAACCATTTGTGTTGATGTTCTCCAGGATGGTTTTGACTTGGCAGACGTTCGATGTTGATGCAACCGAGGTAGCCTCACAGCCCATGTGTCCAGTATTGATTTCATGGCGGCTTGATAGCAAACACAGAGCAACCATCCTGCAAGAGAAGCGATTTGGGCTAGGTTCCTTGAGCCCTGAACGACTCAAGGTTCTTTGGATGTTTTTCAGCCCAGTCCTGCTAGAGGATGGCCGACGTCGAGGCTAGCAGGACATGTTTAGCATTCGTGAAAGAGAGCGATAGAGAGAGAGAGAGAGGGAGGCAGACTTGGCCAATTGGACTTTGTCACGTCGGGTGAATTCGGGTGATAGTTTCTCCAGGTGTGTTTCTTGGACACCCAGATTCATGGGATGCTGCTGACAAGGCCAGGCAGACCGACCCGACAAATTCAACGTTTGACCCAAACCTACGTGCGGAACTTTCACAGCAAAGGGACACATGGTGCTTCCAAGCTCACTGGCGTCACATCCTTGAGGGCAGATGTCACTAGATTCTCTAGATGAAGTCATGAATTCACACGCACCCGGAAGGCACGGTTTGCCTTCTGTGCGGCAGTCCCAGTCTTTGGTGGGCTGGTTTGGTTGCTGAGCCGACCACCTCTCCCAGATCAGAAGCAGTGAAAGCACAGGCCTTTGCATGCAGCGACGCGTGTGAAGGCTTGACAGGCAGCACGCTACCCGGTTACCCAAAAGCCATGTCTTGCATGCGTTGACATTCAGGTGTTTCAGGCGCCTCCAATTTTCGGCCCTGGAGTTTCACTGGCCAAGACTGTGCCAGCGATAATCGGTTGAAAGAAACTGAGCGCCTCGAAGATGAACCGCTTTGGCTTTTGTGGTCCTATATGCGCTGCCCGTCAAACACGTTGCTCCTAGGAAGCCACCAACGAATCCTCCACCCCTACATCTTTACGGACACCAAAGACCTCGATGTGAGAGGGGCTACCAAGACTAGCATGAATAGGGTAAGGCTGATGAAGCAAAATGCTTTCGCTTGGCAAAACGCCTTTGCTATCCTTTGCTTAAGTATTGATTTTACTTATTTGAAGGAGGGTGGCAGTCTATTTGCCACACCTTAATTTGGGCAAGCAATGAGACTTCTCTGCTTTCCAGAGGCAATTATGAGAGCTGAAGGAGGGGAATGCATCGTCTCGATACCAAGTACAAATTTGCCAGGAGCAAGGAATGTGCCTTTCAAGCTGCACATCCACCTTCGTCAGACTCTTTGCCATGCAAGAATTAAAGTCGTTATTGGTGAGTAGGGCAGCTGAAGCAACAACGGAGGTGGGGTGAAGGACAGGCGGTCAATGCGAAGATCTGAGCGTGAGTATATCGTGAAGCGATACGAAGGCCGCACCTCCAAGCTGCAAGACACATGCCTTGCGAGAAAAGTGCCCCAAAGTCGGGCTCTGGCCAGCCAGGGCCTTTTTCTCGTTCTCCTCTCTCTCTCTCTCCAAGCTGACGTGGATACGGCGTGTAACTAACTTGCCTTTCTTGTGGATTCTGTAGGCGCATACCGTAGATTGTTTGAACTTCGGCATGCTTCACTGAGGCTCGCAGAGTCCAGTGAAACGATGGATGAACTGCGGGTTGCAGAGATCTCAGTGTGGCCTTGCAGCCTTTTTTCAATGTGCAATTGAGCTTGAACAGCATCTGACCCGTGCTCATCCAATGCATGATCTTGGGCGCTTGTGGCTGGAAGGCCCAGCTCTTCGGTGGTTTGCTTGGCCAAGTGCCGGATGGGGCACTGCGGCAGCAGTGCCTTGTCTCCAATGTAGGTGAGAACTTAGACTGAAACCATGACACGGCTACTGTATGTCTAAGAGCAGCGCTGCCATTGCCAGGTTTGAGCAGCACTTGAAAGGCATGTCGCGCAAAAAGGCGGGTTTTGAACTCGAAACTTCTCAGACTCTGAGAGTTGGGTGCGGCATATCATTTCCTGCTCAGGGAGCACCTCATCCACTTTCGCCTCGAACGCCTTCGTCTCCAAGCTGCTCACTTGCCAAAGCTGCGCCATACAATGCCATACATGTCCAATCTCTTTCTTTACCAGATCTGAGGTTCATGGGGTAGCATTTGATGGTTTCTTTCTTATCCGAGGCCGCCGCCCCAAGCCCCACTTGCAAGACGAGCTGGAGGTGCTTGATTGGTGTTTATTGCATGTTGATGGAAGTAGCGATGGCCTCCAACCTAATAGCGATGGTCTAGAGCATAGATTGGAAGCTTCAGGCTCTCGAGGCTTGAGAATCTGCACTTGCATTGCATCTTCACATTTCTAAGCTTTTGCTCAAAAGGGCGGCCTGCGACGTGCGTTTCCTCAGTTAGCCTGTTGCCTTACTCGCCGTGATGGACACTTCAGATTCAAATGTTGTACCTCAACCCCTCCAACTACTCCTAGAGCAAGCTTCTGCCAAATCTCCCCAGAAGATAGCCATTCGAGTGGAAGGGGTCGAACTGAGCTACTTCAAGCTACATCACTGGGTGAGAAACGTGGCGGCCGCTTTGGTCAGCTCTGGGATTGAGAAGACCGATCGAGTTGCTTGGCTGTTGCCCAACTGCCTCGAGGCTCTCGCTTTAACGTGCGCTTGTTATTGCGTAGGTGCAGTATCAGTACCTATCAATGTCCGCTACTCGCCAAAGGAAGTGTCATACATGGTTGAGAAGGTGAAGGCCAAAATGCTTTTTCTGCAACCTGATGCCTTGCATGTCATCCCGGATTTGTCTCTGATGCTCGAGGTGGTGACAGTGGGCTCCGAGATGGTCCATCCTCATACGAGCTGGAGTGATTTTGAGCAACGACAAGGGCCAATAACTGTCCGACCGGTGCAATCAAGCCATCCTGCCTTGATCCTCTTTACTTCAGGGTCTACTGGCCATCCAAAAGGTGTCCTCCATTCTCTTGGAGGCTGCTGGGCAGCTATCAACACTTCGGCCAAGGCCTTAGGACTGGGTAACGAGGACGTGGTGCTCGTTGGAAAGCCTATAACCCATGCGGGTGGACTTCAAACACAGCTCCTCCCAGCTTTGATGGTTGGAGGAGAGGTGGTGCTTGCGATGACCCCACCACCAGCACAGGCTGTAGAGCTGATCCAACGATTTTGTGTGACAAGCTATGCCATGCTCGTGAGTTCTTTGCTAGATTTTGTCGAGCATTTGGAAAGAAGCCAGGAGACCCTGACCAGCTTGCGGAGGGTTGTTGGCTCTGGAGACTGTGTGCCGTTGGAGCTCCAAAGTAGGTTTCTCCAGTTGTTTGGCAGGCCAGTCTTAGAGGGCTGTGGCATCACTGAAATTGGAGGCTACTTTGCAATGCAGCCCATCGGGAAAGAAAAGCCGGGATCGATTGGACTCCCAACCGCTGGCACAGAGGTGCGACTGGTGGATGATGAGGGCAATGATGTTCCCTCAGGTTTTCCTGGAGAGGTGCTGTTGAGGACCCCTTCAGCAGCACTTGGCTATTGGGATGACCCTCATGCATCAGCCGAATTGTTCCAGGATGGTTGGTTGAGAACAGGTGATGTTGCCCAGCGAGATGAAGACGGCTACATCTGGTTTATCGGACGCCGCAAGCTCATCATCATACGCAGGGGCTCCAACATTGCGCCTGCTGCAGTTGAGAGAGTTTTGGTGATGCATCCTCAAGTGCGTTCCTCAGTTGTAGTAGGAGTGCCAGACAAGGATGATGGTCAGGTGCCTGTTGCTTGGATTGTGGCACAGGATTCCCAGCATCCTCCAACACAGGCAATGCTTGAAGAGCATGTGTCCAAACACTTGGCTGTCTATGAGCGTCCAGTGCACTATTGGTTTCGGGCGGAATTGCCGCTCAACAGCGTTGGAAAATTCGACCGAGCATTTTTGCAGAACGAGGCCAAGCATAAGCAGCAATGGACGTGCTCACAGTTGGCAGGTGCATAAGCTTCGGCACCAAAGCCTGTACAGTATGGCAACTGCGGCTGCAACATAATTAATTGAATAGCGAGGTTTCTATCCTGCTCACCTTCTCCTACGCATCAGATGTATGCGAGGAAGAACAAAGAACAGATCCCTGTGGCTGTTTGTACAGACCCTTTGTATATGTCATCTTGCAATCATTAGCAGCCTCCGCTCGGATCGATTTGCACAGTATGCTTTGCTACAAGTTTCGGGAAGGATGCCGACGCTCATTAGAAACACCCACGTCGCCGAAGGGATGCCAGGTTGTGCTCAACCCATCCCTGAATTGAAAGGATGCAGAGCCGATGCCTTCGGAAGCTGGACAAGTCACAAGAACATACGAACACCATAGAAACGGCCGTCAATGTGTCAGGATTTGCGGACCAGGTTGGGAGGCGGAGAAGAGGAGGCGGAGGACAGTTTGCGTGAACACTTCTCTCCATTTTTCTCAAATGTTTGAACTCTTTGACCTTGGGTATGTTATGCATTGAGATGCGGCCTACGGATGCCTGGGCCAGGACAAGGAGGCCATTGCCAAGAAAGTGCTGAAGCAACTCGGCTGGTCTGTGACATGTTGGAGTCTTGCGAGCCCAACCCCGGGGGAACACTTGAGTTACTGTATAAAATGCATTTTGAATCAAGTCTGTTGGTTGCAAGGCTCCTCATCCATGCATTTTCCAACAACGCCAGTTTGGCTCTTAGCGTCTCCATTGTTTCTTAGCATGCGGTTGTGGACTGAAATGTGCCCATCCAAAGGCCTGAGAAAAGACATTGTTCGGCAAACTGCTGACATGTAATGCACGCGAAGAAGATTTCCCGGATTCTTCAGTATGGAATTTGTTTTTAACAGTATGACGATCGGATTATCTAAGCGCAGGTGGCACAAAACAAAGCCGCCACCCAGGAAACATGAAGTTTGGCATAGATTTCCACTACGTTTCCATACAGAAGGTTGTGCAGAGAAATGATGGAAAAGTCAATCCGGATGACGGAAAGTTGCCATGGCATGCTTTGGTGGTCTAGCGCCACAGCCGTTTAGTTTTCACTCTGTGTCCACCAGGCAAGGCTTTACGACGACGTGCAGAAAACTTGAAGCCCAGAAGCGTTGCCCAGGCTGCCGTTTAAAGAGCCACACTCCACGCCCATGAACACTTTGCAGAGGAAACCTTGTGCCTTGTGTGTGTAGTGTTTTCTTGACAGAGGGTGCTTCTAGCATTCTGCAGAATCCACATGGCACATCGGTGTATATATATATAATTATACTACTTATGTATCTATACCAATTTTCCGTATTATTCGCACACAGCACACACACGCATGTCACACACACACATATGTCACACACACATATATATATATATATATTGCACTGAGTAATGCCTCGACTCTACTGAGTAGAGCTACGATGATATGTCCCCAAAACTCTTCGAAGCTGTTTGGCTGAGGGAGCAACTGCTTCACCCCCCCGTCACCCCAATGTGGGTGGCGGGGGGTGTTGATAGAGAAAGGTGGTATGGGCACCGCTTCGAGCCATCCGTGTGCCATCCGTGATGGTGAAGGGCACGCTCAGGGAACGATCATCCTGGAGGTCGCGGCAGCCCTATCCACAGATGGTCAAGGTCATTGGGTGACCGCCAAGTTTGTGGGAGCTAGCGATTCCCACATGCAGTGGTGGATGACGGAAGGTGAGGGCAAAAAGTTGGCAGCAAAATGCGCTTACCACGTTTGTGAAGAGTCATCACACGACTGCAAAGTGACTCGACGAGGAGCCTCTATCCACGTGGAGAAGTTCCGGGTCCTGACGCAGAAGGAGATCAACAGTGGAGTTCCTGCTTGGGCCTTCGAGAAAGAGTATGGGGAAGACCTTTCTAGTAGAGTTTCTGAAGAAGAAGGACATGGAGCCCAGGCCCAAAGAAGCAAAGGCTGCGTTACCCTGGGTAGACCCAGGCGTAGAAGCTTCAGAGGATGAGGAAGAGGATCCGGGGAAGGAAGGCCTCAAGGCCAAACTCCTTAAGGCCCGTGACGAGGTGAAGAAGCTGGAGCGAGAGTTGACCGGAAAGAAGGTCAGCACCAAGGCAGCGGGATCTAAGGACAAGAAGGAAAAGGTCAAGAAGAAGAAGCCAACGCCCGAGGGTAAGGAGAAGAAGAAGCGAAAGAGGGCTAAGGAGTCACCCTCCTCAGGAGGTGAAAAGAAGAAGAAGAAGAAGAAGAAGGCCTCCAGGGCAGACGACGAAGCAGCAAAGGAGGCGCGTATGGCAAAGGGGAAGAAGAAGGCCATCGACGAGTCCTCCTCGTCCAGTGATGACGAGGATGAAGGTCTGTTTGGGGAATGCCCAGAGGAGAAGGTTACCGCTGGTGCCAAGAAGGGCCGGTGTGATCGAGGGCCGTTTGGAGGTGGAGACTTAGTGAGATTCCAAGGGGAATCGTCCAGTGAGTTGGAGGCAGTTTTTCGCGAAGCCCCCGCAGTCCCGAAGGCATCAAACCAGCTGAAGTTGATGCAGTACGCCAAAAGAACACCGGGCCGCCTGGCTTCAAGGCTCCTCTTGAAGATGCAGGTCGAGGGAGCCCAGGGGGCTGCGGGGCGAATCCAGCCGATCTAGGAGAACGGACTCCACCAGCGGCCGTCCACTACTTCCATACGATGATCGTGCCGCAATTGGGCCAGCGCTTGAATCTGGGAGCCCACAGGGAGATGAGGACATTGTGTACAGCCCTGGACCTGTTAGCAAGAAAGCTGCCAGCCCACGCAGCAGACCTGCTGGGGCAGCGTCTGAAGGCGATCGAGAAGAGTTGCCACGGCCATTGGCAGGCAGCGCTGGAGCTCCTGGGGCCGGACTCGGGCGGTGTCCTGGAGAGGGGCGAAGAGGTGTTCATGAACAGGGAACACCTCCTGGAGCTCAAGCTGAAGGGCTACAACCCCCCGAGAGGGGGCGAGGGCGGAAAAGGAAGTCAAGAGAAGGGCGCCCGAAAAGGGAAGAGAGAGGAAAAGGCAAAGGAGGCGAAAAGGAGAGAGAGAAGAAGGACTAGCAGATGAGGCTGTCACCAGTGGGCCTGCATGTCCCCCTGAGACAGCAGATGCCGGAGGCCTGAAGCGCAGTGTTGAACGGTCTCCAGTTGAGCTGTTCGGTGCTTTGTGGAGGGCTTTTGAGGGCAAGGATACGCCGTTGTGTCGCCTGGCGCGATCGACGAGCTGCTGCCCATTAACCCACAAGCAGTGTTGGCCTACCTGCATTCCTCAGGGGAGATGAAGGCTCAAGGCGTGGCAGGAATGGTTTGCGCTTTGAACTACCTGGCAAAGTCGCAAGGGTATGGCGGATGGGTGGCGCATGTCTATATGAAGGAGCTCACCCAGGCCCAGAAGTTGACGGTGGATCATCTGAGACGAGCCTTGGACTATGTCGAAGAGCGAAAGCTGAGGTGTGGGCGCTCTGAGGAGACGGCGCGACATTTAGCAGCGGTGCGCTTTGCTTACCAGGGAGTGCCCGTGGTGGTGATGGAAGATATCCGAGCAGAGAAGGTGATCGCGGCTTGGCCGAAGGTGGGTCAAGCAGCCGTCCAGGATAATGCGTTGACCTTCGTGCCAGAGGAATTGAGGGCAAAGTTGCTGGATCCAGTGCCTTGCCTTGAGCCTGTACATGCGTGGCCCCAAGAGCCTCACAAATCACGAGTGAGGGCCACAGACGATGAGTGGAACAAAGATGTTGGGGCCGCGTATGAGCGTGGCTTGATGGTGGCTGATGAGTTGGATGAGGGGTTCAAAGATCAGAAAGGCCGACCAGTCCTCAACGGAGCGGGAGCTGTGAAGAAAGAAAAGAAGGTAGATGGAAAGGTGGTGGGCACGCAGCGCTTTATTAGCAATCTGATCCTGAGCAACATGTTTCAAGACCGCCTAGAAGGCGACGGCAAACTGCTTCCCTACCTGGGACAGCTCACCCTCCTGCAACAGGAGGAGGAAGAAGTTTGGTTGGGGGATTCAGAGGATTTCACGAGCTGCTTCAACCTCTTCCGCCTACCCCCTGACTGGCACAAGTTCATGGCATCTGAGTAGCCTGCGGATGCAGCGCTGCTGGGGGGGGGTGGCAGGAAAGATGGTGTACCCTGCAATGGCTGTTTTACCCATGGGCTGGGTCAGCAGTGTGGCAGTGGGTCAGAGCATTGTGAGGTCCTTGGTCTTCAAAGAGGCCGAGATCCTCAAGGGTCGGAGTGCCAAGACCCAGCTTCTGCCTGCTGACGAAGACCTGACGGTGATCTACCTGGATTCGTACGACCAGTTGAGAAGGTTCACGCAGGGCTGTGAGGAAGTCGTGAAGGCAGAGATGTCCGAGAGGCACAAGCGCTTTCTTAAGGTTTGCGAGAAGCTGGCCCTGCCGCTGAACGACGGCAGTGGCTTCGACCTTGGGAGCCCTTCAAGGTGGAGTGCTTGACGGTGAAGAAGGCCGCTTTGGCCTTTCAGTTCAGAAGATGGTTGAAGTGATCACCTCAGGAAGCACCTTGTTGGCCAAGGAGAAGTGGTCCGAAGGCGAGTTGAGGCACTTTGTTGGCAAGGCGACCTTCGGATGTTGCTTCAGGCGGCCGCTTTTCGCTATCCTGGAAAGCGTGTTCGAGGAGATCAATGTGAGGGCCAGCCAGAACGACCGTGAGGTGCCCCGGCCAGGCGCCTGGGACGAGGTGGCCATCAGGGTGCTGCTCACCCCTCTCATGTACTCGTACTTGAAGGCAAGAATCGACCCAGAAGTGTCGGTCACAGATGCCTCGCCATCTGGTGGAGGAGCGGCGACAGCCGTAGAGTTTCAGTCAGCTCCATGCACCATTGACGTTGCAGGGCCGATGGCCGAAAGCCTGGCTTTGAAGGAGAGCTTTATGGTGAAGGGCCAGGAAAAGGAGCACTTGGCTACGTTGCTGCGGCAGGCTACTAACCGAGGTTCAGATGTGAGATCGTTCCTCGAGGTGGATGGAGAGATGCATGAGCAACCTTTTTTTGCTATGAGATGGCAGTGGCGGACGGCGATGTCCTATGCATGGCGCCAAGAAGCTCATTTCAATGAATTAGAACTCTTGGCAGTGGCTGTCTTCCTGAAGAGACGTGCCCGGACACGATCCAAGCAGCATCTACGCTTCTTCCACGTGCTGGATTCTATGGTTTCACGTGGCGTTCTGGCGAAGGGAAGGAGCAGTTCGCGGAGGCTGAACAGTGTGGCTCGAAGGTGCAGCGCCTACATGTTAGCAATGGACAGCTATATGTTCCCGCTCTGGACCATCATTGGATGGTACCTTGCGGACAAGGCTAGCAGAGCTCATGAAGCGTAGCAAAAGGAGCTTGCAGTTTGCAGGCCTGCGCCCAAGAACACTTCGAGCCTACCGCGCAGCTTTGGATCGTTTTCTCAAGTATGTCTCTCGCAAGCGTTTGAGCATCTCCAAGCCCCATCGGCTGGATCGACAGGCTGCTGAATTCATTGATACTTCTTACATCTTCTTACCAAGAGGGGGAGCCAATGAGCTATTCCGGTCACCTCTTGTCGGCACTGAAGCGTTTTCACCCAGCACTTCGTCTGGAGTTACCCATTGCAAGCCAATACTTCCGGAACTGGCAGCGCTGTTATGTTCCCACTCGTGCCGCGCCAGCACATTGGGAATTGGTGGAGGCCATGATGGGCTTGGCTCACTCGCGAGGTCTGCACACTTTTGCGCTCCTGGTAGCCCTGGGCTTTAATGCCCTGCTGATGACAAGTGAGATGCTATCACTGTCTCACCAGCGTGGACCCCACCTTGATTGCCTATGCCTCCTCGCTTCGCCAGCCAGGGGACAAAAGCCTTTTGTAGCCTGAAGGCCCGCATCGATTCCGGCAGCTGTTCGCTTCTTTCCTACGCCAGTTGGGCTTCGCTGAGGATGACTACACCCCCTACAGCTTGCGCAGGGGTGGAGCTACGTGGTTCTTTCAGACGTCCCTTAGTTTGGATGCAACCATAGCTCGTGGTCGCTGGTCGTGTGGCAAGACAGCAAAGCAATACATCGATGAAGGTACCTACCAATTGGCGCAAGTCAACTTTACCCCGGCTCAGAGGTCCAAGATTCGGTCATGGCGACTGAGTTTCTTGCGGCTGCGCCAGGTGAGCAGGAAGCGGAAAGGGTGAGTCCTCTTTGTTTCGAAAATCTTCCTGCAAGAAGTTGGAGTGGTGAGGCCTACAAGAGGCAGAAAAGACAGACCATGCAAGATGTATCTGTTCGAAAGCCCTCTTGAGGGCAGCAGCTGCAAAGGCAGACCATGCAAGATGGTTCTGCTTGAAAGTCCTCTTGAGGACAGCAGCTGTGTTTGAAAGTCCTCTTGAGGACAGTAGCTGTGTTTGTTTCACGGGGCTACAGCGGCGAGCTGGCCTCACTTGAAGC